TCCTATTCTTTACTCTTGTTCAACCATAATGAGCATCTTTCTATTTCTCCTACAAGGAAATAACTTTCTTTTGCCTTTTCCACCTAACTTTCATCCCAAATAAACACAGAAATTAAATGCCTTCTCTTCTGAATGCCTTGGAGTATCCCAGTATTCTGTCACTCCTGTATCATATGTTTTAATAGCTAGGCTGGAAGGTAAATTGAGAATCTGGGATTTACAAGGCTGAGGAAGAGAAACTGCAATTCAGTAGAAGTAACTCATAAGCTTTTTTTTGAGGGAAGGAGGGAGGGCCTGGGGTGGGAAAGGGGACAGTCTCTCTCAGTTCTTTAAAACAGCTTTTACAGACTAATTTAAAACACAGAACTCATCTCCGTTTTCCATGAAATGCTTGCTTACAAGTGACACATCAAACTGACAATCCAGATTACAGGCTTTATTAAAATGCAATCTCATAACAGTTTTTCCAAACACAAAAGTTGCATCTTTAAAAAGATAGTTCAACCAGTTGTAAAATACTGTTCTGCAAAGGCAGAGAATAATGTCTAGAAACCAAATGAGTTCATCAACAGTTATGAAAGTCATCTGCTTTCTCAAAGAGCTATAGAAAATGCAATGGGTACATTTCTTCTTTTTATTCTTCAACATATACTCAGCCTAACCAATATTTTCCTCTTCTCTCTGCTTCCCACAATGGTACTATGAGGGATCAGCAATGCAGAACAGCTTTAAAACATTGAGATAATAAAGGAAAAAAGGTTATGCAATGTTTTCACTTGCACGCCTTTTAGTGCAAGTACATTGCTATTTACTTCTTCATACTCAGCAGCAGTTCCTGTGAAATCATAAATATAATTTCCCCTTTAAGAACTTCAGAGATACATCAGATAATTTAGTAGCAGATGCAATATAACACGATCTTAAAGTAAAATTATAGAAATAGTTTTCCTAACGTTTTAACTTTGTCCCATAGAAAGTTTGAAAATTTGAGAATTGTCTGGTAAAAATATGACAATCTTTATAAAAGTTCAAAAGCAGAAATTAAACAAAGGAACTGCAACATTATGATGTACTTCTGGAACTAAGAGAAAAATATTACTTGTCTTGACTGGCTAACAGACTTTTTGTGAATCATCTACTAAGTATTCAAAACCTAACTAGAAAACAGGTCAGAAGAAAGGTGGGTAAAATGGCAGTTTGTTACACTTTTCAGAAATGTTATACAGCATCATAATCAACTGTCCTTCCTATTGCAGAGCATACAAAAATAGTTGAGGGCTAATTCATGAATCCTAGCTCTACCTTAATCGTAGTTTGGACGATCTAAAGGTAGATCAGGGGTAGGAGTGGTCTGAACCACATTACTGGAGCAAATTCAAAATCTAGACTAGTGTTTGTGGTACGTTAAGCAGATGCTTTTTTATCCCACCGCCATTGAAGGTTCATTCGATTTATTCCTCAGAAGATGGAAAATTTCATGTATTTTCATACCATATTCCCTGATCATAGACTAGCTCCTGCTGAAATTTATTTACCCATGTTGCATGAAAAAGGCAAATAAATTTAGCCTTTATTAAAAATAAATAAAATAAACTTCCTTGTATTCCAACTTATCCTTGGATACCAGAAGGGCTGGAGGTGGCTAAGTTTAGATTCTGAGTAATGCCCAGTTCGGTGCTATAAATCTGGTCATGTTCAATACATCAGATTCACAAATAGCACACTGCCCAATTCATCTAGTTGCATTTGAATACACATTTATGATCACTCCTAAGGAAGGCGTAGCATTTCATGGGGACAGCAGGAATAACAATGAATTGTTCCAAATAAAATATAGAATGATTAGAGAGGGACATGACCATAGGTTTTCTTTTGGACATAATGTAGTTATGTAAAATCAGTTTATATGATTACATGGGGAATTTATAATAAACTAGTAAAAAAAAAAATAAAAAAAAAAAAAAATCAGATTCTTAGTCTTTTACTTTTCTCTTATTTCAGGAGTTATCTGAACCAATCTGAAATTAGAATCCACTTCTGCCCTCAAGAGTGCCAGACAACAGCTGCTGTAAAATCATCTAGGGACTTTCCTCTATACAGATGTACAATTTTGTTTGGGGCTCTGATAATGTATCTCATACACCTCCAATAATAAGGCTATAAATATTTTTAAAAGGGTAATGATTCCACCTCTTGTGATATTTTTTTTTTTAACTTTTATTTTATTATATTATTTTATTATTTTACTGTCATTTCAGAGGGGGAATTATTTGCTGTTGCTCAGAGAGTGTGATTCTGGCCTATTCTGTCCCCCTCCTTTTCCCTCAACCCCCAGAAAAAGAGGCCAGAGGGAGATGAAGACTATACAGGTTCAAAGCAGTTTCTGTGCTGCCTCATTAGTGGTTCTCACCTGCGCTGTCTGCAATAGAAAAAGAGACAGAAACCACAAGTAAAAGAGAAAATAGTTATTGAACATTAGTTTTCATAGTCTTCATAAGCAGTGCAATAATAATGTAAATACACTGTTTGCATCTAATTGCCTTGTTGCCTGAGCTGGCCTCATCTGTGTCCCAGTTTCACCTGGATCTTTGGAGGTCTGTTTTCAAATAACACTGCTTTTTCTCCTCAACTTGGGAAATAACCTGATCTGAAATTTGACTGAAGATACTGAAGATACAACTAGATATTTCATGTTAACTGGATTCTCTACAATTTTTAAAGAAAACCTGAGAAATCTCAAGTTCCATTGTTAAAAAAAAAAAAAAAAAAAAAAAAAAAAAAAAAAAAACCATCAGGAATACTTAAAAAGATCCCATCAATTGGTATGGTTTTAATACTCTAAGATCAACAGTGAATAATCCACATGAATATCTAATTAGGTTGTTAATACTTAAGTACCACATAGGACTAACAAGACTTCACTGAATATGCTGAAAATATGCCTTTGAGTGTTATGCTAGCTGAAACTGAATTCAGCAGCTCTGTTTTCATTTTTATACCAATATTTTACTGTAGCTCAAAAAGAGACTGAGGATATTTACCTTGAATAAAAAAACAGAAAATAGCAACCCTTGGGGGAAAAATTTTTAGAAACAGGTACTGTGGCTCTTGTGGCTGATCTTTGTACTGAAGTACAATATATTCCATAGCTTTAGAATTTTTTTTCCAGACAAGTCAAGCTGTGACGGGGGGAAAGGGGAAACTCTTCTAAGTTACAGCAAATCTGTTAGATCTTACTAACTGGCAAGGGTCAGACCAGGCCAGTATTCAAATGAGACTCCTTGAATGAACATGGAGACATTTCCAGGAAGTGCAGTTTATAACTTAGTAGAGAGCTTCCTTCCTTCCTTCCTGCCTGCCTTCCTCCCTCCCTCCTTTCGTTTTGGACATAGGATTAAATCCTGTGTCAAAAATCCCCACTTGTTCTCTCGGGTTCTACACTGTACCAGGAATGCAATTAAACAGTAACGGTGACATTCATCTCTCCTGCTTTAATATCTACAATACAGATGTATCAGGCTAAGTAAATCTCCAGAGGCTCCCTTAATAGACAACAGGGAAACATAGGTACATTTAGCATGAGGATCATCTGGTGCATCTTAGAAAAATTAGGAGGAGCTTAATTACCCTCTTACATTTTTAGTTGTTGTACTGATTCTAAGTTATAAAGAAACTTTTTATAAGATCTGAAGTGTTGAATTCCAGTGAGAATTTGTTCACAAATTCTCAAGCATAACTTCATGTGATAGTGATATTCTTCATTGATTTATCATGTTCAGTGATGCCATTTAGTAGGCATTTTCAGTTTTCATGGTCATATTTTTAATGTCTTTATCTCTCTTTCTGACAAAGTTACCTACCTCATTGGCAAAAGGGAAGTCAGGTGTTGTCATCTTTTTTTGATTCCAGCAAGGCTTTTGATACTGATTCTCACAGGATCCTTCTGGATAAAACACCAGCATACAACTACACAAAAACATAATGCAACTGGTAAACAGCTGGCTGATGGGTCAGGCTAGTCAGTTTGTATAAATGAGGCTACATCAGGCTGTGAGACAGTCAGTAGTGATATTCTGCATGGGCCCTTTTAGGGACAATTCTCTTTAATGGTTTCAACATTGATTTAGATACAGTACTCAAAAGGTATACTAAGTTAGTTTGGAGACAACACTAAACTGGGAGGAGTTATTGATTTCATTGAGGGTAGAGATGTCTTGTAGAGACATCTCAATAAATGGGAAGGCTGGGCAATCACCAAACACGTGTTAGAATTCAAAAAGTGTCTGGACAGTGTTCTCAGAAATATAGTTTGAATTTTGAGTAGTTCTGTGTGGAGTTAGGAGTTGGACTTGGTGATACTTATAGGACCTTTCCAATTCAGGATATTCTGATTCTAAGATTCTATGATAACTGAATATGAAAGAGATCTAAAGTGTTAAAAATACAGAAGACCATTCACTTTGCTCTTTGGTTCTGAGGATACAAGGATGTCCACATATGGATTATTTTCAGATAGCTATAGCTGTTTAGATAAATGCCATTACCAAACCTCAATCCTCAGATATTATGTTTGTTTTTCAGAACAAGTGTGATCAGCTTAAAGATAAGGCAGATATAGAAAATCTCCTACTTCTACATAACAAAGAACTGTTTTATCTTTATGGCTGGACATTGTGTAAAAAGACAAAATCAGCCACGATTAAAACAGTGTTCACAACTTTTTTGAAGACACAAAGAGGAGTCAGTGAAATATTATTTCTGTCATTTCTCTGTCTAATGAAAACTTCCATATAAACACATGCTCAGAGCTCCTTGCTATACTTGAGAGCAGCTGCTGGATAGATGAAGCTCTGCATACAATATCCCCTGGCCAAGTGAAAGAAATTCTTGGTGAAGTTCATGTTATGCCCTTTTCCCTACATAATGAAGATTAAGTGGTGAAAATTCTTATCTGGAATTGTGGCTAACCAGTGCTGTCTGCAGATCACAGCTCTGTGAGGTCTTATAACTAACTCATCTGGTCACAGTCCTCATTCTGTGTTTTGTTCTTACAACTCATCCTTGCAAAGAATCATTACATACACAATGTACCCCTGCTCTGAAATGTGTGTACCTGTAGGTCTGCATACTGATGTATCCATATGACTGTGAATCAGCACCTGCAAAGTGCTCAGCTTTCTCGTCTCTTGTCATTCTGTGAACTCCTGTATACTTGCCACAAGCTAGAAGCTTATACACTTAACATCTGAAGAAAAGACAGGAAACATCTGGGACCAGATTAGTTCATTTATATGTAAACTCTTACCAAGTGTAGATCTCCTGAAGAAGGAGTTAATTTAGCAATCTGAAAACAGTGGAAAAACAGTGACATCACTAGCACCATTATTTATACTTCCAGGCACTAATTACACACCTTGACAATATACAGATATTCAAAGGATTTGTTTCTGTCTCTGCACTAAGTGGTATTCAGTTTTCTGTTGCAAATTTAAAATACCGTGTCTAGAGTTTCATCTCCTAGTAAATAACTCTATATGTACATAGGACTATCTCTTCTCAAAAGAATTTACACTAAGATTTAGACAAAAAGATAAGAAGAAGGAAAATATCACCCAGATTACCTATATTTCTGCTAGGAAATCTCAGGTAAATCTTGGTCTGGAGAGATATCAGCATTAAGTCAAATACTTCTTATTTCAGTAGAACTGATCGAGAAAAAAGGAACATCACAACCATTGTAAAAACTCAGTTTTCTGTACACATCAATAGCATTGTAATTCTGATATTTTCTTAATTGTTAATCCTTTGAATATAGGCTTCCTGGAAATATATATATATATTTTTTCCTATCTGCGCTTTTTTATGTGAACTGGGGTAACCTTGTTAGTAGTAAATGCTGACTGTCAGGATCAAAACCACTCTCCAGCACAGGTGAATTAGAAGCAGATTATTCCAAGTCTTGCAGAAAAATGTTTCCTGTTCCTACCACTGAATAGAATAAACAAAAGATAAAGAATATTATTGAGGGCATTGTCTAAATGTCTTTTGAATACTGACAGGCATGAGACATTAACCATCTCTCTAGGAAGCTGTTCCAGTGCTTGACTACACTCACATAAACAAAGTTTTCCTGATATCCAGCCTGTACCTCCCTCTGCGCAGCTTTGTCTTCCAGCATGTCATGTCATCAGTTACCATGGAGCAGAGACTGGCTTCTCCCTCTCCACTTTCCTTCAAGGAGCTGTAGAGCACCGTGATTTCATCTCCCAGCATCCTTTTCTCCAACGTGAATCGAAGTGTCCTCAGCCTCTCCTCATAGACATGACTTTCAATCTTTTTACTAGCTTCATTGTCCTCTGGCTTTCAAGGTTGGTATTCAAGGACCTTAATGTCATTTTTATGACATTATGACCTCAATATTCAAAGTAGGGCTTCAAAATATTGCACTTTTTTTTGCTGTCTGGTTATGCTGTATTTAATGAACTCCACAATGCATTTTGCCATTTTGGCCAACTGCTACCTCTTTCTGAGCCTGCTGTCACCAGGCCTCCTCCTGTTAAGCTGCTCTCCAGCAGCTGATCTCCTAGTCTGTGCCTGTGTCTAGCATTACTCTATGCCAGGTACAGAACCCTGCGCTTTCCTTTGTTGAACTTCATGACATTGCTCCGTGCTCCAATGTATATAGATCTCTGCAAGGCCTCTCATTTCTCTAGGGAGGTGATGGCACTTCCCAGTTTAGTATTGTCAGCAAAGTTGCAGAAGTAGCACTCCAGTCCTTCATCCAGACCACTGACAAAAATTTTGAAAGAGAATAGCTTTAGAGTTGAGCCCTGGCAAATAACGGTGGTGACTATCTGCCACCTAGAGGCAGATCCTTTTACCGCTCAACTACCGTTGAGTCATTTCACCTGGAATAGCACAAACCAGCTCATTTCATAGCTGGACAGTATACCCAGAAGGATGCCATGAAATATTGTATCAGAACCTTTACTTACATCCAGAAAGATTACATTCACTTCCTTCAGCCACCGATCATCGATCACCTTATTGTAGAAAGAGATCAAATTACTAAGGGTGGACTTTCCCTTGATGAAGCCATATTGACTATGCCTGATAATAGCTTTGTTCTTTAACAGACTTTCAGTACCCTCCAGGACGATCTTCTCCATAACTTTTAAAGGGACTGAGGTGAAACAACGTGAAAGATATGTAGTTTCCTGTGTCTTCTTTCATGCCGTGTACACAGATAACATTGACTAACTTCTGGTAAGCAAGGACCTCCCCAGATACCCAATACCTTCCGTAAACTGTGGAGAGGGGTCCAGCTATAATATATGCTAATTCCTTCAGCACTCTGAGTTGAAACCCATTTCACCCCAAGGACTTCTGAGCGTTCTGCTAACACAGCTGTTTCCTTGCAATTTCATGTTGGAAATCTGTTGCTAATATTTAAATACATAGCTCTGATAACCATCTTCACACCATTTTTCTTTTGTTTACACTTCGTTGATTTAATTGACATCACGGAGAGGCTACAAGAATGCCTAAGCAAGAAAATTTACATCGAGTTCTGTAGACAAAACAGCTGATACCATTTTCACAGCAATCTGTCTCAAAAACCAAGATGCCAAGAGACTTCTCTCCTCTGACAATCCTGATGATGCTGTTCTTGTCTCTCTCACCTTTAAAACACAGAAATTCTGCTTGTATATTTAGAATGAGTGCATTTCTCGGATCTCTGGGAAAAAAAAAAAAAAATAATGAAACCCTTACCATCCTCCCACCCCATATTACATTGATTCTTATGGGGAAAAATTGCCTTGCTGATGTTGAATTTCTAACTGTCACACTTTTCTTGAATGTCATGAATTGCAAAGGATAGCTGTACTAAGAATTACAATGAAAGAAGAAACCATATTGACCAATGGATCTATGAGGTCAGGAACATACACATACTTTTTTTTTTTACTTTATGTAACTAGGTGCAGTTTGCACTCTGATACTTTTATGGATGAAAACTCCAGTCTAATTCTATTCAACTGCTTTCCATCACAGCAATTTCTACTGTTTTTTTTTTTTTTTTCATTGCTGGTGCTGCTGTGGCACCAGGATGACTAAGGATTTGCTCTTCCTTTAGCTAGTGTTCATTGCATAGATGTCCTTAGAAACAGAATAAAATCCTGACACGAAACACAGGAGGAGCTTTTTCTGTACTGAAATAATGATAAGGAAAATCTGTAATATAAGAGCACCAAATTCATGGTGAATGATTACTGAATATTTTGTATGAGAAATATGTCAGATGCCGAGAAGACAAACCTAACACACTGGTATCTTAAAATGCATTTTTTTTTCATGGAAATCTGGAAATTAAAATACAATATTTGCTTTTAATAAAAATTATATAGATTATTTGCTTGGGATGAAGAGGCACTGGAACATGTTGCCAGAGAAGTGGATATATCATCTCCTAGGTGTTTAAGGCCGGGTTGAATGGAGCCCTGAGTAACTTAATCTGGTGGATGACAATGCTGTCCACAGGAGGGGAGCTGGAATTAAGTGATCTTTAAGGTCCCTTTCAACCCAAGTCATTCTATGGTTTCAAGATTCTATGATTTTCTGTGATAGCGTATCTAAGTCAGCCCAAAAGTAATTTGTCCTATTTATTTCCAATGTAACTACAACAGATACAAAGAGCACAATAACACTATCTGATAGAGCAAATTCTCAGCTACAAAATGCTATTTTTCAAGGTAGCCACTACCATTAGCTATGCATTTTTGCTAGGGATGCACAAAAGCCTGCATGACACACTCAAAAATCTGCACCAGCAAAGGTGACCCACTGTTTCACAGTTGCTATGATAGTATGATAGTCACTGCTAGGAAAAATGTTGCCCAAGCCATCTTTCACTGGCCCAAATAGATAAAGAAGAAGCCAAATCCCAATGATACAGTGGGTGTGGAAAGACAATCCAGCCAAGACTGGCAATGTGCTCTACAGTCATCAGACCGCTATGGGGCCTGGCATTCTTGTTGCAGTAGAACTGTTGTCTTCTTCTGTGGCCTGACTGAGCTTCAGCTTAGTGTTGCAATGTCGTGTCAGAATTGGTGGTTTATCCAGGTTTCAGGCAATCCAGAAGGATCACCTCTTTCCTATCACAAAAGACAATGCACATCACTTTACCTGTGCAGGCTGCATCATGAACTTTTCCTTTGATGGAGAATTCAGATCATCACTCTGTAGACTGTCATTCTGACTCCAGCTTGTAATGGTGATACCATGTCTTATCACAGATAATGACACGATCCAGGAAACTGCTACTGTCAGCCTATCTGTTCAATATGTCCTGACAGTCTTGCAGACAGCATTCTTTTTTTTTTTTCCCCCTCCCCCCTTTGTGGACATTCATGAGACCTACCTGGTACAAACTTTGAGATATCCCAGTCTTATCAACATAATTTCCAATGCATTGAAGCAGATATTCAGCTCCATACGCAGTTCCCTGGGTACGTGATCTCATTAGGAGACTTACCTTGTTGTCACCTAGGGCAGTGTTTTTAAATATCAGAATAATACAAAATACAGGTTTAGAAGAAACTGAGCTCAGTGTATAACAACTGCAATTTTACATATTTTTTAAGAATTCTCCTTTCCCTAGGAATCACTAATATCTGTGTACCTCCAGTGCAAGTCACTTTGCTTTTCAGAAGATTCTTGGTATAATGAACAGTCAGAACATCAAATAAAAGCCATTTTGGCCCATAGGGACATCATGTTGCACCTGCAAATGAATACAAAAAGACCTACTTACTGAATCTAACAATGCAGTTATATAACAAAATCATTCTTGCATCTTCAGTTATATGTTTCAGATCTTATTGCAATTTCTTTTTCACTTGACAGGAAAGAAAAATATTCCAGTCTGGAAAGGAAATGAATATAAACTAAATAATATTCATCAAAGAGAAAGATTACAATTGTTAGTTTTTCATTAATTTCAGAAGCATTTATGAGGCATGCAGATTGACTGTAAGCATACTTAGAATTCATAAACATATTCTGAATGCTCTGGATGTGTTATAAAGAGATGCCAGATTGTTTACATTGGCTGTTCAGTTTAACTGATCTCACAGTATTTCTGTTCCTTCACTGTTTGACAAATTTATTAGCAGGACAGTGGGTAAAAAAAATATCAAATAATACACTATTAACGTCTCTGGTTTCACAAAATAACTACTGAAAGCATAATAAGCCCTAGGTATCCAGCAACCCAGTATTTGAAAATATAATATCTAGCCCTTTTTATTTAAAAAATATATATAAACAAAACATAAAAAAACCATAATTCAAATAGTATCCTCTCATAACAGAACCACCTTGTAATTTAAGCAGCAAAACGCTTGAGCCTAAGATTCAACAAAATGTACAGGATAAAAGAAGAAATACAGCTGTGTATTGGAATTGTCAGTATGCTTACATATATCCTAACCCATTTCTGCATTAACCATGCCAAATTCTTGAATGTTCTGATTCTTCAAAGAAACATATTTTGGAAAAATATTTTCCTTGACAACACTGCTGTATTGTGTGAAACAAATAGGTGCAAACACAAATTTAGCTTGGAGATTTTGTTCTTAGAATTGAATGAAAAAGCAGCAACAAGAGAGTAACAGCTTTCCTGGAACAAAGTAGGTATTTTAGGCACTCCAATACTAAGCATGCCATTTATCCTTAATTCTCCTTTTCTATAGTATGCTGTCAGTGGCTGAAAATAAAGGCAAGTATAGTTACTGAACCTCTTTGTGAGCCCTGAAAGCTGGTAGCATTGCAAATGAATTAGAAATTCTCTCAAATGTAAGAAGAACAGAAGCAAGTCACGCACCTAAGTTTTTGCACAGTTAGCAGAAAGACAAAAAATACAAAATATCAGAGGTTCTGCTCAAAGAATTGATTTAATCAGTGTCAGACTAACTAAGCATCTACATTACAATCTGGCTTACATACAAGAAAAAAATGTGTGTGTGACAATTCCTTTTTATTTTGTTTCTTCACCACCCACTGCGGTGTTTGCATTTTTTGCATTTCATACACCTGAATGACAGTTAAAAATAGAAGACTACTGGAATTCTGGAAATTCATCCTTAAAGCTTTCCATATCAGAGCCTAAGTTAAGCATATATTGAAACTGATTTTCTAATTGACAAACTGCATTTGGAGCTCAATCTTCATGAGAACGTACAGAATGATGTCTTTTTCCTTGAAGAGCTATTCTTACAATGCAGATACACTGAATACCTTGCAGGAATTTTAAGTCTCAATGAAATAGCATGAGGTTACAAAAAAAAAGCCAGAGTTTTGTCCCCCCCAATGTTACTTCCACAGAATTAACAAGCTCTTGGCTTCAAAGGGCAATTTTTACTAGAATCCTTTCTCATGTATTTTTACCGATCATTTTTTCTCTACATTCTACATGCCTTGATAAAAAAAATAATTGAAAAATCACAACCTGTGGTGCAATCATAATTGTTACTGTATCTGCTCCAGGAACATGGGCAGGCTTACTCACCTGGTTCTCCCTGGCTACAGCAGCTAACACTTTCTCTCACTTTCCTTGAAGAAAATTCATCAAACACTAATTGATTTGAAATTGCCGTTTGCTTCCTAACCCACTACAGGAAAATGGCTTGCAGCTTCACAACAACCTTAATGAAGTTCAATTAGACTTGCTTTCCCTCTCTGGTGCTATAGCTACATGGACGTTCTCTGACCCACTACTCTTTTCCTATATTTGTAAGTTTTCTCAGACAAACCACGTCAGAATGAGCACAAAGCAACACCTGTGCTGTCAGCATAGAAGAGAGGCCTGAAATGCAAGTAGATGTATAAATGAGGTTGATTTAGGATCTGTACTATGGCGTAGCTCTGACTTAGCTGATTTTGACTGAAATGAAGGAGGAGATCATCTCCAGCAAAAGAAGCTTCTCTAGCAAATCTGTAGCAAGAAGTTGCATTGCTGAAATTCTCACAAAGTCAGTTGTCTGTGACACAAAGAATTAATGCTTTTGAAATTAGCAAATTCACCCAACGCCTACCTGTAGGAACATACTGAGGGTTTTGTTTGGTGGTTGGTTTTGTTTTTTGAGGCTTAAATCTGAAAGTAAAAAAGAAAAAAAAAATGTGGAAAAAGGAAATGAGAATATAAAAATAAACATTGCCTTTCAACCACTAGAAATTGTATCTGTTAGCCAAATGTACCAATACCCGTAATATAATAACAAGAACGCAGCTTGAGACAGTGGAATTCTAACTATTGGAAAGAACAGTAAAAGGTCTTGAACTTTCACAAGTAAGCAGCAGTCAAAATAGTATGAGGATTTGGCTTGTTTACAGTGGGGTTTAATACTCGTATAAGGAGACTCACCTGTGATGACTCCCCTCGGAAAGCAGCGCTTCAAGCCCAACTGTGGTAATAAATGCTCCATTTGAAGGGGATTATCTCCTCCCCCTCTTCTTCTGATTTTTCAGAACAAAGCAGGAGGTGGAGAGAAGGAGGGGGAGATAATCCCTTTAGCACTTAGCACTTCACACCTGCCAGGTAAGTAATAAATGCTGCATTCCGGGGGGATTAGCACAGTACTTGTTTAGAGTGGAATAAAATGCTTTCAGACATTGGACCAACCCCCTGGGACAAAAGTCCAGTTTAGGTTTTGTCATTTAATTACTTCTTATAGTCTTCTTGCATTTGTTTGTTTGCTAACTCAAGTACAACAGCATGAAAACAACAAAAGCTGAGTTTCTCGATTTTCTGTGTTTCTGTGTGTATGCCATGAGAAAACTTAAACATATTGATACAATAAACAATTGATAATAAAATAACATTGTATTATTTAAAGATATGCATTCCACAAGAGGTAGAACGCTCTTCATGAAACCCATATCCCATGCAATGAAGTGTTCCTGAACTGAAGGTATGTTGAAGGAAGTTCATTCTGATCAGTGTATTAGTATCCTCACAGCAACACTCAACAATGTGAAGCACTGTCATCAACAACCTCTTATGCTTGCATTTTTCTAATCTTCACTTTGTATTTTAGTTGTGTGAATATTGCAATAAAATAATGATAATCTTGCATAGTGTGAAAGCTAACATATACTTTGGTGTTATATTTGAGTCATTCTGTCCAGAATTTCTCTTTGGGAGCTGCAGTAGTGAGCCTAACCTGAATGAAAGGGAAAAGAGGAGAAAAATAACAACAACAACAACAACAACAATAATAATAATAATAATAATAATAAAGAAATCTTGTCATCTCCAAAGAACAGAAGACTCTTCTGCTCTACTCTTCCTTTTTAGGACTTTCTCTTCCATTTACCTGGAAGATACAATTTAATATAGATTATATTGCCTGTGCTTTTCTCTGTATACCTGCGTGTTGCTTGACCACAGATGTCAGGTGGACACCAGATGAGAAACCCTGGGGCATCTGAAATGATACCAGAAGCCTCTGTTTTCTTCCCAAATCTCTCTCTATATTGGCTATATGTAATAGTTGGTATTTAACTATAATGGACCTATTTTTTTTCCCTAGGCTTAAAATATGAGCAAATAAAGAACCCACCCCTCTAACATAAGCAGCTATGGATAAAATAGCTCTTATACATTTTTTTTTTATTTCCCAGGGTGAATATTGAAAAGCTCTGCCTAGTTAAAGATGTGGGAGAGATCATAACATCTTTAGGCTTGCTGAGAGTCTCAGAAACAGAATCCCCTTGCTGGGAAGGTCTCGGGTAGCCTCTATATGAATCACTTCTTCACAAGCATACCTCAGGAGCTCTGAAATTTGAAGCAAATAGGTTTTACTCTTTAGAGACAGCTAAAACAGTTCTTTTTGTCCAGATATTTTGAAGTTCCATACCTCTGCTAAGTTATAGTTCAGTAAACGCAGAATCTTAATATATGTTATTTAAAAGGATTTTTCATATCAATTTCTAAAGGTGGAGGAGAGAACATGGATGAGAGCTTTTTTTCATGAAACTGGACATAGTAAGCTGAAGTCTAACTTCAAAATAATGTTATTTTTGTTGTTTCATTTTAGTGTCTCCTTCCACATGATTAAAAAAAGAGATATGTACAATAAATACAGAACAGTTAATAGGAAAAGAAAACAGTTTAATTTTCCTGAACTCCTACCTTTTTATTTTCTATACAGGAAAATTAAACTGTTGCCTATCATGTCTTTCATTAGAAAAGCTTTTCAGCAGAGCGTATCTCTACATGAAGTACAACTGTTGGCTTCAGTGAATGTTTCGTGCTGGATTGCAAAACACGACACACAATACACAGGTAAAAAAATTTGTGATGTCATCACATATGGAGGAAAGTGCAGGACAGTATGTGCCCTACAGACTAGTTAAGTCTTTTACCTAATTAGTGAGAAAAGGCTTTTTTACTCAGTATGTGTGCATATTTAATTCCACACTTTTAATCTAGTACAGAGCAGAAGTAGTGGAGAACAGAGTATTTTAAAATAATACATTTTCTGTGAGATTTCCCCACTCACCATCATTCTTTCTCAGAGACAGAATGCATCTTAGTGGCAACTTCAGCTACCACTTACACTTACTAACATTTTCTTCTAGAGCAGAAAACAAAGAAACCCAAACAGTAAATACCTTAGAATATAATCTCAGAAAAGTAAATTCTCCAAGAAAAATCTTGGTGCTAACTGTCCTGTGTCTTCTATTTCAAAAAAGTGCAAGGAAGAAATATGACACATCATGTTCCCAAAGACCATAGTAGCAAACATGTCTGCCAGTAATTATCTTTTTTGATACTGAATTTTGACCATGTAGCATGGTAATACAAAGAGAAACAAGAGACGATGTGAGAAAATACAAAAGGCACTGCATTATCCCAAAGAGAGTGGGGATACAAAAAATTTATGTTCAAGGGCTATTCCAAAAAGTAATGTCCCTATTTTATTACCTTGACCCACAACATCAGAGATGGATGTTGGTGGTATGGCAGTTGAGGCTGAAACTTCCCACCAGTATTCCATTACATGCCATGAGTAGAAACAACAGCAGTGGGTCACCTCCACAGGCGTAGATTTTGGCAACCACAGCATGCAGGCTCTTGTTCATCATCAGAGAAAATGCATAGCCAATGTTGGTAACAAAGTTGAAGAATAGTGTTTTGTGGCTGAGAACTATATATTCTATGTATTTGCTGTTCTTATTTTGTTTTCTAAATTCAGTAGTTGGGAGGAGGCCTAGAAAATGTGTTGCTGTTTGTGATAGTCACTGTAAACAAAGAAAAGAGAATCTTGTCATTACAGAATCAATTTCATGAAACCATGGTTTCTGAAAAGCTAAGTGAAGGTACGTTTAGGTATCCTAATAAATGTTGCAGCTGAAGTTGGGTCTCTGCCATCTCCTTTAGTTAAAATGGAGTTTTTGGGGAAGCAAGACCCCAGAGTGGAATGTGATCATGAAATTAATGTGAGTAGGTGGTTTAAGATAAAATTCTTAGCTCAATGTTAGAAGATTCAGAAAAGTATGATTAATTAATGCCAGTAAACATGATTTTGGGCCAGACAAGAACATGACCATGGCACATCCGGAGATAGCAGAATGTCAGAACATGAGGGAGTAGTGATATAGAATAAGAAGGTATGGTTTACGATAGCTCATATCTGTTTTAAGAGTTTTTCAAAGAAGACACATTAATGACAAAACTATAATAAAGATCTTCCAGTTACATGACACCTTTGAGATGACATCCAAGGTTTTTGTAATGTCTATTTCTCAGTAACATTGATGCAACAACTGTCCTGCACAGTCAGATGTAATAAAAGTGTAAATTTCAGTATGCATACTCATTAGATATAAATTGTTTCACATTGAGAGAAGAGAATAAAAGTCCACTCAAGGTGTCATAGAACAAATAGAAAGGTATTTTGCAAAGCATCTCCGTCAAGTCATAGAATCTGACATAAAAGTTCGTCTTAAGTGTATAGTTCAGCAAATTGATTTTTAGTTTTTGAAATGGAATTAAACATTTCCTAGTGGCAGAATCATCAGACACATGTGCACAGAAACACAAGAACATGTGGGTGGAATTTAAAATCTAGTATGTGTCTAATGCACAAGCTGTTGCAGACTGTGATAAATGGGAAATTAAAAAAAAAAAAAAAAAAAAACGGAAAAAATAATTTTAAGATTTGGATGATAAAAACATGGTGAACACATTACAAAGAACAACAGAATTTAGAATAATAATTATTTTTGCAGAACTTTAATTAGCTCATTTTCTTAAGTGCATCTCAGGTTGTTTTCATAACTATTTCTCTTGTTTATCTGAAACATTCAGTCATAAGGATCTCCACTACGACTAAGTAACAGAAGTCATTAAATTTTGATAATTTTGTGATTCTATGATTTTATATTTACCAGCATGTTTGTATTAAATGATATTACTTCTAGCCAATGCAGAGGAAAAAAAACAAAAAAGAAAATGTAAAAAGCAAAGAAACTAAAAATAGGTCAAATATGTATGTATAAATGGAAAAGCTTATATCAGGACATATGCATGAGGACTGTTTTGTACCTTGGCCCAAGACATCAGAGGCAGATGTTGGTGGTGTGGCAGTAGAAGTTAAAACTTCCCACCAATATCCGGTTTCATGTTGTTGCTTGTGACAGTTGGCAGCAGAGGGACAGTCTGACAAAATGGTGTCTGACATGGAAATGGGTTTGAAGCAAAGGTGTGTTTCTGAATTCCACCACGTAGATAAATTGCATCCACTGACATTCATGGGCTCTCGATGAAAGTTTCTGGAGACTTAAGGGTGGGTGTGAGTACAGTGAGGTGGTGGGTGGTGCATTTCTCAGCAGTGGCAACTGTAGCGTATGTGAAAGACACACCAATTTCTGAAAGGCCATGAAGATTTTCATGAGTGTGGCATGCAAGCTCTCATTCATTGCTGGCAAAAATGCAATGCTACTGGTCATGACTATGTTAAAAAACAGGGCTTTTTAGCAGATAATTAGCTTTATCTTTGCGTTGAGTTTTCCATGGAAATAACTTGCAGAGTGACCCACATACATGCATACATATGTACTTACGCATGCTCACATGCACACACATTTTGTCATTTATCCTGATATTTTTTCCTCATTCCCATGACTTCCTTGGTTTATACAACCCATCCTAGGTGGCTCCTGTTTTCACCTTGGGAGACTAACATCTCTGTGAATAGGTGAATCTTTCTTGAAAACCTTGCTTATACTTCTAGGTTGCCAAATCCACATTTAAGTAAATGAATTTGGATTTGGAAATGCTACCTTTCATTTATATTTGCAAGGTACTACTGTGTAGGGTAAATTTGCAGAGATTAAACATTGTTTTTTTTATTTTGGAGAGCTCACATCAATCTCCTACTACTGTGTTAAATATTTAATCACCTGTCCCAGTACAAAACAAACCTCACTCATTGAATTCAATCTGTCTATACTTGCTTGCAAAGAGTACAAAGAAAATTTCCT